GGGGGATCCCATGGGCGGGAGGCGAGAGGGATGCCCTTGGGCCTGGGGTGTGCAGGAGGGGGATCCCCACCGACGAAGGCGGGGATTCCTGTGAGCATGGGTGTGCGGGAGGGGGATCTCCCCCGGGACCCCGTGCGGAGCGTGGTCGGGGGATTTTCCGTGTGTGACGGGTATGCTCGTGGGCAGGGATACTAACGTATATAGCAAAATTCTCAAATCAAAATCCCCTTTCAGTCATCTCCAGAACAGAGATACTTGCTTTAAAAGTTATGTTCAGTGAAGGAGTCTTTGCTTCCCCCCACCCCCCAAAATGGGCCTGTCTCCTTCCCCAAAGACACTAGGGGCAGGTCTTGCCTCCTGTCTTCCACATGAATTTCTCTCACCCTCACCCTCAAAATAGCTGGAGAGATTTAGCAAGTCTGGCTTTGTTTGGTGAACAAGCCTATAGGGAAGATCTGATTTACTAAATAAAGCACTTGGTGTTAGGAAATAAAAGGTTAAGTGAGGCCAAGAAGAGAGTTAAGTTTCATTTCCCAAGTGCAAAATGGCAGAGAAGCTCCACTTGTAGCCATAACAGCTTCAAAACATAATATATGTTACATATTTGTCATTTCTTCTTCCACTTGTATAGCATGACCTCACTTACCTCTTACCATCATCTCCATCACCATTTAGATATGAAGTAACTGACTGATTTGTCATGTACTTCGAAGTGTAGGTGTTACTATGGGATGATTTACATAAATTATGTTGATATTGCATTACAGGGCTCTAATCAAGAAAGAAAAAACAGGAAGAAAAGAGAGCTGTCTCCACAATGTAAAGAAATAGTCAAATATCTTTTTAACAAACCATATTTTCTACTTTACCAGGGGAGGGGGAAGGGTGGAGAGGTTATACACACCAAAAAGATTCTGTTATTTTTAAAATTAAAAACCTACTTTATTTCTTTATTTAATAAATACCTTACGTTATTAAAAAACTGAAAATGTTAGAGATTTGATTGATCTTTTACCATTTATGCTATTTGTTTACTTTTTACATTTCACTCAGTTTAGATAGCAAAAATAAGTTAGTCAGTTTCCCTCTTATTTCTAGTTATTCTCACTTCCTGGTTCTCATGCACTCGAAGAATTCTATGATGTTTAGGTTGCCAACACTTCTGTGAATGGTTAAATCTGAACAGAACACAGTAAATTTCAGGGAAAACATTTCTACTTGTATTAGATTTTAAAAAATAATTTAAAAACTACTAAATCTGGGGCCTAAATTACCTTATCACATTCCTTTAGGTAGTCTGTGTATTCATGTACATATGTGACCTCATTTTATAGAAACAATGGGTTTTTTAAACTGAAGTGACTTTTTCCTAATTGAAAAGTGACTGAGAAAGCTGAAACGTGAGGTTTACACAGATTTCTCAAATATTTTCTCATAACTCTGATCTATGTAAGCTAATTTTTTGCAACTGTGTATTTGTTCTGTACATTGTGTTAAAGGGACAGGGTAGTCCACAGTCTCAAAAGTGTATGCAAGTCATGGATTTATGTGTTCACATGCCTAAGTATCTCACAGCCCTTATTTACAGGCACATGTCAACATTGTTTGTGCATACTTCTGAAAATTTGAGTAAATTTAGGCTCAGCATTTAGGGGCAGATCTTTAGCTGGTGTAAATTACCAGAGCTCCATTGAGTTCAGTGGAACTATGACAGTTTATGCCTGCTGAGGATATGCCCATTAGCCCTTTTTTTAAAAGATTTACAATCCATAATAGAAATCTTTTTATGAATTAAAAGTTTCTGAAGCCCAAGTACAAGGGTACCTTAGAATCACAAAGTGAAATGGACTATGAAATACAAGTGAAACCCTCAGTAAAATATTATTGTTAAAAGTGAGTAAATTACAAAGAGTAAAAAGATATAAATGGTGAAAAGTAAGGCAGGGTTTTAATCTTGTCTAGGGCCCAGTCCTGCAAGCTGCTCTGCATACAAGCAGACATCCAGTCGTATGGAGCACCTTTTAGGTGGGCCTAAGGCAGTGGTTCTCAACCCATGGGCCACATGCAGCCCAATCAGCACACGGTTGTGGCCCACATGACATCCTCAGGGCCATACAGGTAGTATATATATTGTGTGGATGTGGCCCACATAACACATAGAGAGCTTCATATGCAGCCCACACTGGTAAATAGGTTGAGAACCACTGCCCTAAGGTATTAGTAACACAGGTAATACATTTAAATGCTTGTAATTCTACAGATGATGTTTGTCCTGAGTGTCGCTTGTGGAGTATTGTGCTAGGATTTCAGTCTCTTTAAACTTGTGATGTTTTAGAAGGCAGTTGAAGAAGATGGGGGGGGAAAATCTCATTAGTTTAATTCACCATTCATATTCTCTTTATTCAAAAGGTTTATAACAGTTGTCTCTTGCACACATGGTACCAAAATCCAAACTTCTCCTTTGTATGTGTCCTTCAATTAGCTTGTTTTGATTCTGTTTTGTAACTTTTCACCTTTGGGGGGGAATCACGTTGGCTCTTAGTTTAAAGAAGCTGTGATTTCTATCAAGGTGATTTCCTCTGGCTGCTGAGAGGGAGAACAGGAAGATTATTTCCTTCCCTAGAGCCTCTTGACTGTTGTAGGAAGGTATCGTTTCTCTGCTTCTTTACTTTTCCTTCAGTATACTAGCTGCTCTGCATGATGGGGTATATCTCTTGCTATTCTTTACTTTCCTCAGCCTCACCTCTGAGGTTTTGTTCAGTTTTGTCTGATACTCCTTGTGAATAGTTGCTGTTCGCACACTTGTCTCTTGGAGATTTGTAAGCAACAGCAGCAAGAAAACAGATGACAATTGTTGTCATTTTCTCTGCTGACCACCAGTTTGTGAAGAGCAGAAGTGAAACTGACAGGAGGGTTGTTAATTTCATACTGCTGCTGCTTAGAAATAATACTAGGGTCACTGGAGTGATCTGTTTATAGTCACATGAAGACAGCACTGAATTAGTTTACACTTGGAAAGTTAACTTTGCAACCAAAAGGACTAGCAACTAAAAAAAGAGAAGCTAGATTTTGCATAAATTGATGAATTAGCCCACAACCACCACTCACCATTGAAAGCCTCCCAGTTACCATTAACAAGTAGATGAGGATTTTTTGAACTTTGCTATATTTAATCACCAAGCAACTGCGGATCTCTCAGCCTCTCATGAAGAATTCCATATGCTCACTATACTGTTTTTAAAAGTTTGTCACAATAAAATGTAGCCATCGTCAAATATGATGTTTTGGCCTAATGAATCTCTTCTGATTCCTCATACAGGCCAATTAGTTAAATGTTATTACTGCATTTATAAGATACTTATCACTGTAGTATCTAGGTACATCTTACAAGGTTTAAATTGTGTCAGTTTATATTGTAAATGAGAATTAAGAAACATGAAACACCTTATTGTCCTCATCTTTTAATCTGATTTTTCATCTAGGAACCTAGGAATTAATAGTTTAATTATTTGTAAAGGTTTGGGCAAAGAGATGGTATCTTGTGGCTCTTTCTAAACATAGCCTGGTTTGTAAGCATATTTCTTTATAGAAAGAATTCCAGATATGTGGCCAGTTACCAAAAATGCCCAATCTTCAGCTCCATATGAATATTATACAAATTTAGTTCCAGTTAAATATGAATCTAATTTGTGCAATATGGACATAATGTGCTTGAAACTTTTAGGATTGAAAGTCTTTGGTTGGGAGGGGATGCAAACTGTGTTAAGAAAAAAATTACAGTCACATTAGTGCAAGTGCATTGTAAACCATGTACAATGGGAATATTTTGTGCTCATGGTTACCATACAGATTTTTTCATTTATTAATATAAGTACTTATTGTATTGTATAGTTTAGGATCTTTTCTTTATACAATTCAACAAAAAATAAAAATGTAAAGATATTGGTTTTTATCTACTTTTATCCTCAAACTTTTTTTCTCCATTTGAGAACTTTACCATGAAATTCTCTCTGTGTTTGAGCCCTGTTGCTGAAATTAATTGTGGTCCAATTATCATCCTTAACAACCTGAAAAAATACCACGTGCAATTTATATAAAAATAATGAAATAATTCTACAAATCTCTCTAGTAAGTGAGAAGAGACTTCTCAGAAAGTCTTAAGCATAATGAAAACTAAGGTTAAGTGCCATTTACTTGTGTAAATTACATCTACCATGGGCTGGTCAGACTTGTGTATTTTTCTTTTGAAATTTTCTTTGAAAACATATGAAGAATCATATATATCCAGACTACTTCCCTACCATTTTGTTTGTCTTGTGTACTTTTCACTCCCTTCCATTCCCAATGCTGTCACAGATGGGTCTACTGTTAGAATGCAATTAACTTATGATGATGCTCTATGCCAATTTTGTGATTTATGTGCTACTTTATTGTATAAATTTAATGAATAGGACAAACAGTGTCTAATTCTCCACTCTTACACCAATTTTACTCTGGGGATCCATGCCCTAGTTTGTGGCATGTATGAACCAGCCATGTGGATTTATTTACAAACACCCTCCATAAAAAACTGCTGTTTAGGAAAAGGAGGAATGTAATCTAGGAAGTTCTACCACCATTCCAAATACATTCTACTACTTTCTTCTTTTTCTTTTAGCAATGTGGCTCATTAATTCTGGGCTCATGTATTTGATTATGAGTAGCTCTTTCTTACAATATCCTGGAGCTTCTACTTTGATAGTCACTAATCTA